AAACCAAACACGACGGTAAGCAAATACTTCTACCCCTTGGCGGAACTGACTCAAGCCTTGGTCATAGTCCGTTCCGCGCCCCCAGAGGCATTACCATTACCATTACCATTCCCCTCCTTATCCTTTTCCGAAAGAGCAGCTTTCGAGTAATGGTGGTCAACGGTGTCCATGATAGCCTTGACGAGAAGATCGTTAGTACCCTGATCATCGTCATCGGTATCATCACGTCCGGACTTGCTTTGACCCGCTAGTTGAGAGGCTGGATCATGCTCACTTGCGGATCTCTTCGGCGGGGCTTCTCGAGTTGGAGGCTGTGGTTCTGAGGCGCGGCGGTTTGCGGGATTCGCTGATGCGGGGGCACTTTCACTTGGGTTGATAGGGGGGATGTGATGTTCCTCCCGAGCGGGAATAGTAACCTCATGATGTTCCTGTGAGGCGTCTGGATTCTGCGTCTCGAGAAGCTCTTCCTGCTTGACGTCCTTCCAGGAGCACTTGGCGTGTTTTTTGGTGCATCCCATACAGGCAGTCAAGTTCTTCAAGCAATCCATATGGAGACGACGGCAACGGTCGCAGGGAGGGAGAACACGTTCACCACGCTGAAGGTTCTCCATCCTAGCAATCATTTCCATCTTGAACGGTCCGCCATCGTCCCTCTCATAATGGGATACTGACTTGGATTGGGGGAGGAGAGCGGTAGGTGTATTTGGGATCGGGACGGCGCCAGCACCGGCTCCATAGATGGTGGAGTACTCGCTGGGGTCGGATTGTCTGGGCCTTGGTCTTGAGGAGTGACGTCCAGAGGACGCGCCTGAATGGTCATCCTCCGGCACGTAACCCCGCGCATGGCGATCGGCAGTGGTGAAGAACTTTTTCATCAGCTCCGCACGTGTAGTGGGGGAAGCGCCTTTGATGGATTGGCCATTGATGATGGTTACATTGTCTGTGTTTGGATGTGAGAACATGTATTGTGAAGCACTATCCTCAGCACGCTCAGTGGTCTCGGGGTAACGAGTGTTCACAGCGACGAATCCAGAGGCAGGAGAGTGTGGTCGTGAGCGGCCATTGGCAATTGGGTTGTTGGAGGTTGTGGTGTTTATGACCAGTCCACCACCGGCATCCCGCCAGGACGGGCTGGCAGACCCCTGTGGCTGTGGTTGTGGACCACCCATTGCTGCCTCCTGCTCTCTTCTAGTAAGGATGGCATTCTTGCGGTTCTTAAGGCGGTGGTTGAGCTGCCTTGCGCGGGCAGAGACTAGAAAGGAACGAAGTTAGCAACCGGACGTGGACGTGCGACAATTAACAACACAGTGTTGGGACTCACCCTGATCAGCGAGATGAAAGATCTGCCCCAGATTCTTCTCCAAAATCTCCAGTGCGCCAAGCTCCTTCTCCTCATCCTCAATAATCGGTTGAGGCGGAATCATCTTCTGCGGCATCCCGGACTTGATCAGGATAAAATCTTCCTCGGAAATCTCCACGCGACTCTGCTTGGTATAAAACTGGCACACGCGCACGCCATTACGAGTCTTCTCCAGATTGAACTGCTCGGGTTTATTTTTCGCAAACTCGACGATATCGAGCCAAGTGACATTGGGACCTTCTTTGCCATGCGACTTGAGGACGCGCGGGGGGGCGTCGAAGAGGCGTTCGAAGCGTTTGATGAGGATGGGACCGAGGGGGGAGGCACCGAGGTTACCGGCGATGCTTTCGTGGCGGTGCAAGACGCCGTCGTAGTCGCTGATCAGGCGGAGGATGGAGGGAAGGGTGTCTTCGGCAGAGACGAGGGGGATGTTGTCCGGGTACTGGCGGGCGAGGTAGTTGATCTGGAGGTGGTTGGCATGGGTTTTGGGGACTTTGGAGGCGATGGGGGCGAGGTCGGCGCTGCCGGAGGGGGAGCGAGGTCGCTTGTTGGACTCGGGGGGAGCTGGCCTCGGCTCCATTGTGGTGGGAGGGGTGAATTGGCGAATGCGCGGTGGTTACCGTGGTTGGGTTGGATGGAGGTGGTTCAGTGAGTCGCGACGGGAGGTGGTCGGTGGTCGGGCGCGGGAAGAATTCGGGTACAGGCAAAGTTTGCGTGGGCGGAACACCAGGGAGCTTAGGAAGAGTAGGATAGGACGAAGAGGATGACAGATGAAGGTGATGGAAGTGAAGGTGAAGAGGGAGAGGAAAGGAAGAGGGGAAAGAGGAAAGGAGAAAGGGGGTGAAGAAGAAGAAGAAGAAGAAAAAGTGGAAGAGAGAGAGAGGAGAGGGGAAAGAAAGGATGGGAGAGTGAAGTGAGTGGACTGGGGGGGAGGAAAGAGAAATGGGGGTGAAAACCAGAAACAGGAGGGTAAGGGTAAGTAAGGTAAGTAACAGTAACAGATACTGTAACAGGTGCTGCGGCTTTTACGGTGGTTACTACTATGCGAGAACTCCAGGTCGTCTCGGGCGTGGGCGTGGGCGTCTGGCGTGGGTAGTGGCTGGCACGAAGAAAGAGAGAGGGGGTTGCCCCCTTTGTGGTATTACAGGGTAATGTTTCTTACGTTGAAAAGGGCTTGAGCGTAAACTCGGAAAGGGAGAGAACGACGAAGAAAGGAGGAGAGGAAAAAGAGGGAAAAGCGGAAAGAGGGTGTATTGTATTGTTCCATTGTTCAGCGGGGGTTTCGGTTTCGGGCTTTCGGCTGTGGCTTCGACTGGTATGTATGTACGTACTAGCGGTATGTTGTATCACTGGTAAAACGAGCGGAGTTCATCCCGCCGGGTTTTTCCGCCCATCCTGCTCATTCCGATTGTACTAAGGTGTTGACTCATCATCTGCTGACGAGTCAACCCTCGCAACCCGACAGAAGAGGGATAGGGGGAGGATGATAGAGAAGAATGATAGACGCCACTTTGTTTCAACCTCAACTTCGCGGCAACTCGGAATTAATCTAACCCGTAGAGAGACACCAGAAACAAACATCGATATCTCCGTCTCCCACACTTCTGCATACGTAACAGGAATCTCACCCATCACTCACCCTCTCCCTTCTCATCCCTTCCTCTCCCTGCATCCTTCACGTGTGGTGGTGATGCGCCTGATCCCGGCATCCCGTGTCCCGCGCGCCCCGGCCTTGCCCTTTTACCCCTCCCACTCACCCTGGCCCATCACTCTTCAGACGCTGCACCAACCACCTTCTGCCTCAGTAAACACTTGGCGTGGGAAGAAGGCATAGCATACCATCCATACCAAAAATACGCACATATACCCCCTCACCAAACCAATCGGAGATGACGAATCGAGCCCCGACCGCCCACCTGACACTTTGTTTCTCCGCTCCAAACAGAACGATGTAAAAAAAGAAATATACTCGACCCTTACAAACGGTTACTGTATTAATCGTAATAGATTACTGACAATACACGGCGGACACCACCACTTTCTCTGTCTTTTCTGTCTTTTTCGTTTTCTTTCCGTTTCTGTCCCCACTCACACACACAGACTGCGCTCTTCACCAAAAGAAGATACTGCCAAAGCTCCCTCCTCTCACTATCGAGATATCAACTCCTCTCTGCACCACACCACATCACGCCCACTCCAAACTCAAACAAAAAGAACCCCTCACTCTTTCTTTGATACATTCATTATTCACTCACCCATCCCAAACCAAACCAAATAAAAAGCAAAGAAACAAAAAAAGAAACGAAACCTAACCGAATATCGAATATCGAATATCGAATATCGGACTTCCCGATATTCCATTCCATTCCCATCTCTTCCACCCCACCCCCCTTGTCTCTTCCCTCTCTCTCCAAAAACCCACACCCACACTCAACCCCATCCCCAGCTACAACAAATGTCCGAACGAGGCTCCTTCCGCGGTAGAGGGCGCGGCGGAGGAGGAGAGGGTGGTGGGAGAGGAGGTCGTGGTGGAGGGTACCACCAACGTGGCGGTGCAGGTGGTGGCGGTGCACATCACGGTGGAGGTGGGAGAGACCATGGTGGCCAGCAGCAGGAAAAGCCGAAGAAGGAGAATATTCTTGATCTCACCAAGTATATGGATAAGGAGGTTAATGTGAAGTTTAATGGCGGGAGGGAGGGTATGTTCTGTTCTTTCATTGGAGTTCTTTGGATGAAGGGGAGAGGTGATATTGGTATATACTAACACACCCAATAGTAACCGGAACCCTAAAAGGCTACGACCAACTCATGAACCTCGTCCTCGACGACGTAAAAGAAGTTATGCGCGGTGAGGCCCCCTTTCCCCCATCCCCTCTCTTCTCTCCCTTTCCATACTAACCCCCAACAGACGAATCCGGCACCGAAACAACCCGCTCCCTAGGCCTAATCGTAGCCCGTGGCACCCTCCTGGTCCTCATCTCCCCGCTAGACGGGAGCGAGGAGATTGCGAATCCGTTCTTGCCGCAGGAAGGGGGGGAGGTTTTGGAGGGAGCGGAGTAGCTGGAGCTGTCTGTAGCTGTGGTTTGAATGTGCAGGTTGCAGGTTTTCTTTGTTTCCCGGTTTGTTTTGAATTGGTTGGGGGTTATGTGCTATGTGCGTTTTGCTTATTTGTTTAATTGGATTGGTTTGAATGCGAATGCGAATGGGGTTTTTTAAAAAGCTAGAGCTCTGAATGATATAATTTTTTTCTCCCTAATGATTGATTGATATACGGTTCGACTTGATATTATTATTGCTCGTCTCGGGCAAGGAGACTGATTGCATCTACCTTAATAGAGAACTCCAACAATCAACAAATAACCAACCCAAACACAAACACCCAATACATCCTCTCCACCCACCCACCCCTTACTGGCATAGCACTGACACCGGAGCGGAATCAGTCAGGTGATTTATTTCGGTGACCTTATCTAATCAGCCAGTCAGCAGAAAAGATCTCGGTGAGCCACAGAGACCTTTCTTCCCTCCTCATTTCCTCTTAAAAAAAGAGATAGAAAACTCGACCCTACTCACCCCCTCTATGCCTCACATAAAATATACACAAGTCCGAAAAAGCGAAAAAAAAAAAAAAGATTTCCACTAGACCAGGTGGGATTCGAACCCACGACTCCCGACATTCGAGAACGATGGATCATACAGAATCACTCCTATTGGTTAAGGAAGCGGTTTCCATATAAGATCGGTACGCTAACCGCTGCGTCACTGGTCTCGATAACACTAAACCACGCCAGCTCTTTTGGTTGAAGAGGGTGCGAGGAGGGAAATGGGGAAAATTGTTGATCCGGATATAATACATTTCTACAACTCCACGATCAGCCCCTTGATAATGCCCTGGAAGATATGTATGTACAATAGTTTTTAAAGTATAACATTTTTTTCCTTTCTCAATCTTAACTACTTGGAAGCAAAAAACATCAAAGTCGGAAGTTCATCATCAACAAGGAAGTCAAGTAAACAAGAAACGCACGAAGAATGAAAAAGACAACCCCCATCCAACCTTCCTCCATCAGTCCATCATCCACTACCAAGTTCGTCAAAGCGTCACCCACCACCCATCCCATCCCCATTGCTAGTCATGAATCCATGAATCCATACATACATACATGCATACTCGCGTAGTTAGTAGCAAGCCAAGCAAGCAACAAAAAAAAAGTGTGACATGTTTACTAAAATAGTTAATATATCGAAGAAAGATAGGGGGGTTCTTTATGTTGTGTGCATGTCGTCTCCTCCTTCCACTCACCCACCACCAAACGAGGGACTACGAACCTATTCTGCAAAAGACAAGAATTCCTCCTAAAAGAGCTTTTTGCATGAAGGAGATATCCCAAAAGGAAGTCCCTTGAACGAGAGTGGAACAGTGAGGCCCAATAATATCGCCGTCCAAAGGGTGCATAACTAAGCCCTCCTTCCAGGCTTCATCAACGCCTGGAACGATGACTCTACCGCCTTCTTCAACTCCTTATAACTCACCACAAAACAATTCTGTTCATCGCGACTCACTAGCGTGATCTTCTCATCGATCCCCGAGTCCAGTTTATTCATGCACGTGAGGACATGCCCTAGATCAACCACCGGACTGCCCTGAGAATCGACCTGGTGGAAAACGTAATCCCGGAAGAGCTTCAGGAAGTATCGCTCCCCGTTCTCGGACCATTGTCTATCATGCTCGTATTCGGGTCTCTCGTTGACGAAGTTCAACTTGGTGAGGAGGCGGACGAGTCTTGCGTTTTCGAGCTCGCGGCTGAGGTCGGAGGTGATTTGGTCGTCGACGTGAAGGGCGGAGTCGAAGGTGGAGATCAGTTGTGAGGAGATGCCGGTGATGAAGATGTCGATGTTCCGTTCCTGGTCCTTTTGCATTCCATTGAGGAGCCAAAAGACCGAGTTCTTAAGCTGTGGGCTGTATGCCCGGGTAAAGTGCTCCATCGCTTTTGTCGGGTTGTGTATTATGTTCGGTGAATTTGCACCCAATGTTACGATCAGTTGTCCAAAATTGACAAGATCTTGATGCTGAAGGTCGTCGACGGTTCGCTGTGCCTCGTGCTGCACTACGTCCATAATCCCGCATGCATTTAGTCGAATCCGGTTCTTCCCGGTTACCAGAATTTTGCTGGGTTCGATGACCCTTGCAGCTAAGCCGCATCCATGGATTGCCTTCAGAGCAGATGCAATCTGGGTCACGTAGCTCCATAGTACTTGCTCGGGAATATGTACTGGGTTTTGGCGATTCGGATACCGTGTGCTACTTCCCAAATGGAATTCTGCGAGCGTCTTCGAAAGGGGGTGGTAATCGGTTACGAAGATCAAGGAGCTGTCCTGGAAACTTCGATTCGTAAACGCATCATGGACAGTCACCACACTGCCATTTACAACTCTTTTCCAACTTTGAACAGACCGTATCGCCTTTTCGTTGGTTAACCGGAAGCCTAAACCTGTGTTAGAGCAAGCGAGCCATCAATTATTACATGTTACGTACCCTCAAGCCTTCGGAGAACATAAAAATTCCCATCCTTGCTGGATTGAGCCTTATACACCCAGCTAGTATATCCAAATATCGCAGTGTTTTTCTGGTGGCTGAGGTCCAGCGGAACCAAAGAGTGGAAGTAGTCAATTTGCGCGGGTAGTTGCGAGTCTACAGCATTGTCAGCGGAAGCATAGAGCAGCAACGGGGATGCGTCAAGCCTACTTGGAAGGGTTTGTAAGGTAGCCACCGACTTCTTCTGAAGCTCTTCTCGAAGATCATTTGGAAGGAACAGATCGTGTACGTTTCTCTGGTAACCTTGGATATTCTGGTTGTGAGGGCCAATGGGCGCATACAGGTGATATTGGACCTGAATCACATATTAGAGGTTTATCGGAGTACATGTGCCTCACCAATTAACGTACCGGTTGTTGGAAACCAGACTGGTTCGGAAAAAATGTACCTGCACCAAGTGCACCGGGGTCGTGTGAATATGGGTTTGCAACTTGGTGCCCTACCGCGCCTGGGGTGGCTATTGGTGTACTTGAGGAGGTGATGAATGGGTCAAAAGCACTTCCCGGTGTAGCCACACCGTTACCATTCCCCTAAATCCGTTTTTAGCTTCATGTACAGACAATACGGAAGGTCACAGACAGAGCTTCCTACCATATGGGTGTCGAATCCTTGAGGTATGAAATCCTGCACATCTGCAACGGCCCATTCGGGGGTTGCGGTATCCTGACGGATCGGAGGAGTAGCCGCGTTCGACCCTGCTCGTCAATGTCAACGCAAAATACGATGGTTGTCTGCCTGAGAGAGGAGGCATCGTACGCGGTGTCACACCCTTGGGCAAAAAAGGAGCCGCATTTGCAGCCTTTGGGGATATAGCAGTCTTCTTATTCAAGCCGTTGGGCGCGAGAATAGATGGGGTAAAGCTAGGTGAATCGACGTTCAAACGGGTTTTATTACTAATTATCATTCGCAGAGGTCAGCCATCGTGTAGAGTAATAGTGGGGGTTGTAGCTTACCTGTCGGCTTGCTGCGGCCCGTTGATATTTAGAGGGTCGTGGTTGAAAGCGCAGCCTTGCGAAATCCCAGTGTTAGATAACCCGGGTATACATAAAGAGCAACGCAGAACGCCTCCAGGCAATACCTTTGTCTTCATATCTACAGCGGCCGTAAATCGTCACATTGCGACATAGTGTATCTTTTGCATTTTCTGAATTGCCATCAGCGGCCGTTCTAGCCCAGTAGGTTCCCGAAATTGCGCGTTTGCACAGTCCCGTGGCGCATCATAGCTGCAGAAAGGATGGGAACCAACATACCACGTCCCTTCAACTTCGGGGACCCGGCGGCGCGTCGAGAATCATCCAAAGCGGGTTTCCCTGCCGAAGCCATGTCCGCGAACAAAATACGTTTCAACGCAGGGTATCCTCCATTGACTCGAAACAAAGAAAACCTCGGTGGTCACAAGATTCTGGTACGAACCACATTCCTCTATGGGGAGTGAGACTGGGAATATTGCGGTCCGGTCTGGAGGCAGTGCGGAAAGAAGGGGTGGAGAACTGCAGTATGCGTATATGTATTCCCAAGACGGTACGGTGAATGTTTCGGGTATCTCCGTCGTGGAAACCCTAAGCTGTCGCGAAGCTATGAAGGCGTCGAGTAGATCGACGAAGCTTTTCTCAACGAAAAGTTCACAAGCTCGAGTAGATGATCATAGTGACGAGGGGCTGTTCGTTAGTGTAGAACTGTCAATTTGACGTAACTCCCCGCCGGGTCTGACGTGGGATACTTCTAGGAGTCAAGAGACGGAATCCCTCGAGGACAACTTGAAGGCCAAACTTGGAAAGCAAAGGAAGGTTCTTGCGACAACGGCGCTTGCGCTTGCGGGGGAGTTTTAGGAAAGTGCACAGACCATCTGCGAAGCGCGAAGGCAAAGAAGGTAATGAGTCAGCATCAATCGGTCGGACGTCACCAATGAGAAGAAGAAAAGAGGCTCTTTCCTTCTAAGCTTCTGGACACCTTTTGCATCGTCATTCCTCCACGTTGAACACACGCAAATCTATTTTATATCTTTCCTTTTTCTCATAATACATTCAATTAAGCAACTCTCAGGTACTGGGATAAGACCCATGAAGTTGCTCAGTCTTGTTTGGAGAAGTGAATGACCATTGGGAACTTGGAGCTGCCGCCTAGTTTTACCCCAGATTTCACACCTTCAGAGCTAGAGAGAGCTACTAGTTCCATGAGACACTCGGCTGGAAGGCAGTGAGAATCGCGATGGCTACGGAAGGGGTGGACATTGATCAGTTGTCGGAAGCACAGCAGACTGCTCTGCAGACTTACACGGCTGTCACTGGTGACGAGCCTTCAAAAGCTATACCCCTACTCCAGCGGTCGGAATGGAACGTTCAGGTCGGTCAGAACCAGTCTTGATACTTGATAGTTCACTTTCCTAACTATCAGAGTAGATCGCCATCACCAAATTCTTTGACGGTGAGGGCCCAGACCCTGTCGCAGAAGCTCAAGCCGCCGCAAACAGTCCTCCACCTCCACGATCACAAAGACAGACCCAAAATTTGATGAACGGTGATGACGATTACATACGACGACCTTCCTTCTCCTCTCGCGCCCTCGAACCAGCACCTCGAGTAGATACCCAGCCGGAAGACCAACAGCTTTATCGACCTCCATTCCTCCTTGCCCTATTATTCTCTCCATTCAACTTATTATACCGCCTATTAGCGAGTTCATTCCGTCTCTTTGGCGCGCTCTTCCCTTTCTTACCTAGATTAATGCACACAACTGCGAGTCCATGGCTACAACGATTTCAACGAAATACGAGCGGACGACGTCCTCTAGCACCAAAGGATACGGCGGCGAGGTTTATTAGGGAATTTGAGGAAGAATACGGGTCGCATACAATCCCTTTCTTGGAGAATGGGTACAATCTTGCTTTGGAGAAGGCCCATCGGGAACTAAAGTTCCTTCTTGTCGTCTTACTATCTCCAGAACATGACGACACCGCTGGCTGGGTTCGGGATACTTTACTCTCCCCCGAGGTAGTGGATTTTATTGGGGCACCTGAGAATGGTATCCTAGTTTGGGGAGGCAACGTTCGGGACTCAGATGCCTATCAGGTTTCTAACTCCCTACGATGTAACAAATTCCCGTTTGCCGCACTAGTGGCGCACACACCCAATGTCTCATCTACAGCGATGTCGATAATCGCTCGAGTATCAGGT